ATTTTTAGGGGAAAGGAACTATTTTAGACCCTTTTTCCTCACAGTGGGGTATGCAGCCCAGCAGCTGCTGCATTACCTGAAATAATTTCCCACACCTATAATAGAAAGAAGAACTGCTTTTCAAACAGTCATGGTTCAACCAATGGGGGACCAAACTGCAGGAGGTCTAGTTCAGGTGTGCTGGAGCTGTCTGTGTGTTCCAAAGCTGTCACATAGGGCAGCTGTGACAAGTTTCAAGCTAAGGACGTATGCACCATCATCTGGAGCACAGCTTTCTTGTACTCAGAGTGACAATTCCGTGTCCTCACGCAGACCCTTGCAGCCGTGTCCACAGTCGGTCCTATGTACTCAGAGTCTTCATGTCTCTGAACTAGGGGAGTACTATTAGGTCTGGGAAAGGATTTAGGCTGCACCTATGCACCCAGAAATTGAATTCAATTGTCTTCTCTGGCTCCTAAAATTAGACTACACATCACAATGTCTAGTGCTCCTGCAGGAATCCAAGAGCCTACAGCTACAAGGAACCCATGGGGACTCAGAACACAAGTCCTGACAGAGCAACCCCTAGCCTCAGGACTTCCCTAAGCAGAATTTTGATCAGCTCCTGCCTTGGCGTCACCTCAAAATGCCTAGGTCTGGATCCTGGTTCCTTTTGACTGATTCTGACCCATGAAAATAGGACATCTGCCCCAACCCTCTTGCCTAGCATCCTAGTCCTCTCTGTCCCAGTGTTCCCCAGGCCTTCACAGCCCAGAGTGTCAGTGGAAGCTACCATTGCACATACAGATTCCCAGGCTGGAGAGGAAAGCTCTGGAAGCTACAGACCTGATGGAAGGGATTTTTCTCTCTTCCCATTCTCCCAGTGTCTGGCAAATTCAGAACCTGACCAGAACCTGGTGGGAGAGGTGGGGCTCTGAGGAGGGCCAAGGAGCTGGGACAATTTCCTGAGCACTTAATCTCCTTTGTCCCAACACACCAACTGTTGGAATCTTGGGAGCAGAGAGGCAATCTTATCCCTGGGGCACTGGAGGGTGTTCCTAATGATGCCAGCCCAAAGGCTCGCTACATAGGCACATAGAGGCCAATACTACGGCATCGGTTTTTGCAAAAAGAATGAGGCTTATTGTGAGGTCAGCCAGCAAGAAGTCAGAGCAGTAAGTTCAGATCTGCCTCTGGGATCAGTTGGGATTAGTGGAATTTGTAGAAAGTGCCGCAGGGCCCCCCGGCCCCTCCCCTGAGCCCGGCTGTGCCCTGGCCGTGCCCGGATTGGGCAGTAAATAGCCCTGCAGACCCGACTGCATCCAGGAGGAAGCCTCAGCCTGGTGCTGCACTGTCTTTAACACTTGCAAATTTTGCACATTAGTTTTCTTTTTTTTTTAGGGGGCTGTTGGGGGTACCTGGTATTGAACCCAAGGGCGCCTAACCGCTGAACCACACCCCCAGCCCTTTTTGTGTGTGTGTTTTATTTAGAGACAGGGTCTTACCGAGTTGCTTAGGGTCTCGCTAATATGCTGAGGCTGGCATTGAACTCACTATCCTCCTGCCTCAGCCTCCAGAGCCGCCGGGATGAAATAATATTTTAATGGATCTTTATGTTAATGGGGGAAGATAGGCTGGCCAGAATGGAAACTTCAACCATTTTTTAAGGGATAGTTAGTTATAAAAAATAATATCCATCAGTAGCCACGTCAAATACTTCCTCTGTTTGACTTTATTTTGCTCTGTGTTGATTCAGTAAGTTCTGCACACCAGCCCTCTGCTAGGCTTTGTTGGAAAAAGCAAACAAATCGCTTCCGCTGAAACCGAATAGTAAATAGAACTTTGTTTTATAGATAAGCTCATTGTTTAAGGAAAGGAACTAGAGGGAACTAGAGGTTTTCTTTCAGTGCAGATTCTTTATTGTACTTTGCATTTTTTTTTAGTAATTAGGGAGCATCTCCTGTCTTGTATCAAGAAATGGGTCCTGGGGAGGAAAAGTCAACTCTCTGCAGCTTGCTGCCTGTGGGGAAAATATGTAAATAGTTAAATTTTAATGAAGGGTGGCTTTAAGGAGACTAGAACCTGGAGCCCTGAGAGCTGCCAGAAAAGTGCAGTTATCTCTTGTCTGGGAGAATCATAAAGGGCTTTCCCTGCAGTAGGCCTTGAATGAGAACTTCGTCGGGCAAAGGGAGGACATGAATAATAGTATAATAACAGACACTTTGAGGACTTGGTATATCACATGACGTTCTAAGTACTTTATATGTGTTAAGGAAGTGGGAAAGTGGACTACAAAACCTTTTCTTCCACTTTGCCCTCATCTTTGGGAATATTTGGAAATTTGTGAGAGCCTTTTTAATTGTGGGGAGGAAGCTCACTGATAAAGAGCCCCTGAACAGCTGGGCATGGTGGCACACACCTGTAATTCCAGTGGCTTGGGAGGCTGAGGCAGGAGGATTGCAAATTCAAAGCCAGGCTCAGTCACTTAGCAAGGTCCTAAGCAAAATTATCGAGACCCTGACTCAAAATTAAAAAAAAAAAAATTAAAAACCTGGGGATGTGGATCAGTGGTTAAGCACCCCTGGGTTCAATCTGGTACCAAACAACAAACAAAAACATTGCTGGGTCCTTCCACTGAATGTTCATGATTGTGAAAGAGAGATGATAATGAGGCTCCAACTCGGGTAATGGCAGTAAACATGAGAAGTAGGAACTTCAGGATATTTTTAGGAGCAAGAAAGGGGAGAATTTGCTGATGGATTGGAATGGGGGATAAGAGGGAGAGAAAATGAAGGATTATAGCAGATTCTTGAACTAAGCCATGGTGAAGTGGACATCCATAAACTCACCATCTAGATTATACAATTAACATTTTACTGTTCCTGCTTCACCACCAATCTGTCCATTGATCCATTCCCTCTATTCATTGATCCATCTAATTTTTTTTTTTTGGTGTATTTCAAAATCAGTTGTAGGTATATATATTGGTATGTTTCATTTCTTGAAATTTCAGTTGGAACACGAAACAGTAGAGTTCAATATTTATTTACCGTTTTCTTTTAGCTAAAATTTACATAGGTGAGATGCATGGCTCTTATCCGACGAGTCTGCCAAGTTTTGGCAAGTGTATTCAACTACTATAACTTAAACTGATCCCAAAACATAGAATGTTGCTGTCACTCCAGAAAATGCCCTGACCCTTCAAGAGGGAGGCAACCACTGGAAGAGAGAGTTTTTTTCCTCTTTCCACATATTTTATTGGTACATTATAGTTATACATAATGATGGAATTGTTTTACATTTGTACATGCACACATATAAGAATATGATTTACCCAATATCACTCCCCAGCACTTCCCCCAAAGACAGAGTTTTTTCTTTGTTGTTGTTGTTGTTTTTGTTTTTGGTACAAGGAATTGAACCCAGGGACACTTAACCACTGAGCCACATCCCCAGACCTTTTTTATTTTGCTTTGAGACAGTCTCACTAATTTGCTTAGAGCTTCAAGTTGTTGAGGCTGGCCTCAAACTTGTATTCTTCCTGCCTCAGCCTTCCAAGTATCTGGGACAGGTGTGCGCTACCATCTGTCAGAAATATTTTTAAGATAGATATAGGAATCAGCTAAATTGGGGGATGCTAAGGAGAGGGAAAAAGAGGTTCACCGGGGGTCAGCCAGGACCTGATGAGTGACTGAGATTTAGCCAATGGGAGACGTGACTGGGGCCATGTCAGCCCTGTTGAGTCAGTTGAAGAAACCTTTACATGTTCTGACCCTGGTCCCTCAGCCTTGGACCTGTACTTGGGTCAGTATTGCTATTTTGTGGCAGAGTTGAATGAGCAGGTTTCTACAGTACGTCATCAGAATGTTAAGGTTCCATTCAGTGCACAGGTGGAGCAGGAGACTGTAGACTCCTTTGCTTGATTCCCCCGTGAATTGCTCTTCAAGGGCTAAAGGGTTCTGCTGGTGACCTCCCAATCCAGATAACACATCTTAGTCTGCAAAGATTTTCAAATTGTATTCTATACTTGGAATATTCATTATAAAACACAGGTTCCTTGATCTCAAACCAAACCTTCTAAATAAAAATCTCTGGCTGGTGGCTCCGAGACCTGCATTTTAACCATATCCTTTGACACTGGTGCTCGGTGGACTACATTTTGGAATGACCATGAATCAGCATTGCTACTTTATCATCATACTTTTGACTATGTCATACAATTATTTAAGTGTTAAAGCACCATCCCCTGGTCATGGAGGACACCATTTTTGAAAGGACTTTCTGAAGAAACTGGTCATGTGCTCCTTCTTGGCACGCCCCTGTGTAGACCACAGAGTGGCCACCTAGACTCTGGTGCCATAGTTCTAGGGGTACAGTTTGCCTTCTCAGTCTGACAAGGGGAGCAGAAGGAGCAGGCTAATGGTTCTTATGTGTGGTCCTGGGGCCAGCATTGTTGTTTGAAGATGGATTAGGAATGCAGATCTCAGGCCTACCCTACACCTACTGAGTGAGAAACTGGGTAATTCTGAAACAGGTTCAGGTTTGAGAACCACTGGATTAACTGGAGACTCCCCACTATTTATCTCCTGCGACCCTGGTTGCCATGGACTCCGCTTGTCAACTAGGGTCACCCTTGACCTTCATAATCCCTCAAACTTAAAAATACCTGGATTCAGTATGTGACTCACTTTGTTTTCAGGGTCTGCAATATGGCAGCCATGGTACCTAGGAAAGTGTTACTTATCCTAAGAATTGCCAAAAGTTACTGGGCGTGATGGCACATGCCTGTAATCCAAGATACTTAGGACACTGAGGCAGGAGGAGGACATGGACCTTACCAAGTCCTCCTCCCCACCCATCCTGTCTCCTGCCTGACACTTGGCGCAGGCTCTAAAAGCTGTGTGATTTGTACTGCTTCAGGCCGTTTTCTCTCTGTTGTCTCTCATATTTCAAAGTTTTCACTGGTGATTGCTCCAATTTTTACCTTTTGTGCCTGTTGCTTTCCTTGATTTGTGCTACAGAAACAAGTCACCAGGCCCTTCAGAACATGCCCAAAGTGCTCCGTGATGTTGAAGCTCTTAAACAGGAGGCATCTTTTCTAAAAGAACAAATGATTCTTGTCAAGGAAGACATTAAAAAATTTGAACAGGACACATCGCAGTCGATGCAGGTATTTCGGCTCCTGCCCTATGTGGGGATTCTGGTTTTTGGAAGGGGTTCACTCTCACAGGGGGTGTTGGACAGCACAGCATTGCCAAAAGCCAGCCTGAACTCAGAATTCTAGCCATCATCTAGTCACCTTCCAGCTTCGTCCTTTCCTCTTACGTATCTCTCCAGCACGCTGAGCAAAATCGACTAGGTGACTGATGCTTTGGGGTACAGAAACTACCCGAAGAAGGAGCATGCCACGAGACTCATGCTTCAGGTCACTGGGGGAAGATAGAGGAAAAGGAATCCCTGCTTTATTTTGCTTCATTTCCTTTCAGGTATTGGTGGAAATCGACCAGGTGAAGTCCAGGATGCAGCTTGCTGCTGAATCTCTTCAAGAAGCGGACAAGTGGAGCACGCTGAGCGCCGATATTGAGGAGACATTTAAGACTCAAGTAGGCGTCTTATTTAGGAGATGTTGGAAATTCATTTAGGCGGGAACTTGAGATTTGGGGAAAGCAAATGTGATAGCCTCTCATCAGAATATCCCCAACCTCCAGGGATGTCATTCGCGGCAGACAGAAATGTTCAGACGTCCTGTAGGGAAAATCTGAAACTGCTCTCAGTTCTCCCCTCCCCACACACTTTGCACACCTTGCCTCTTGGTCACGGAGAGTGAGTGGAGGAGAAGCCTCAGCCAGCATGCCCACGCCAGGGATGGTGCGCACAGCTGCAGTTCAGCTACTTGGAGGCTGACCAGGGGGATGGCAAGTGTGAGACCAGCTGGACAACTTAGACCCTGTCTCAAAAGGAAAAAAAGGCCTGGAAATGTGGCTGAGTGGTAGAGTGCTTGCCTAACGTGCATGGGGCTCAGTCCCCAAGGACTACAATAAATAAATAAATAAGGTTTCTGGTTGTAATAATTGACATTAGTGGTTTACTATTTTAACTACTAATGTCAATTAGTAGTTTAAATACATCTTGTTTTTCTGCCCTTTACTCTCCTGATACTTGAAACTAACTGCCCACAAGACCAGCTGGACTCTCCTTAGCATTTGGCATTTCAAAAACTGAATTCTGTTTTTATTTTTATTTTTTTTTCAGAATTAGGCATAGACCCCAGGGCCTCGTGCATGCTAGGCCAGTGCTCTACCATGGAGTTACATCTCCAGCCCTTTTTATTTTTTATTTTGAGACATGGTCTTTTTAAGTTACCAGGCTGACCTTGAACTTAGGATCTTCCTGCCTTAGTCCCCTGAGTAGTTGGGATTACAGGGGTGCACCACCATGCTGAATTGTTTATTTTTATCCAAAGCCATAAACCATCACTCTTTCTTGTGTTCCCCCATCCTGGTTAATGGGGCCATTTTGCATCCAAGCATTTAACCTAGAAATGCCAGAAGCCTTAACTGCTCCTTCTTTCCTGTTCAGTTATATCTGTTCTTTTTATCTCTGCTGGGATTCTAGTCATGCTTTTAATCATTTGTTCCTGGACCATTACGACAGCTGTCCATTGGTCTCTTTGCCACACTAATTTATCTTCCACATGCGACCACGAGATATCCTAAAGCATAAATTGGCACCTGCCATTTCCTTGTCTCCCTCCCCTCCCCTGCATTTTAACTTTCAGTGATTTCCCATTCTCTTCTGGATAGATTCTGAGCCCTGAACAAGGCAGCCTATTTCAGGACAGGTTGGGGCTTGCCTTTCAGCGTTTCCCTGGCTGCCCTCTCCATGTCTGTCCACGCTGTGACTGTTCCAGACCAACGTGCCATCTCCTTCCGCTCTTCAGTTCTCTGCCTGAACTGTCCTTCTGCTTTTCTTTGCATCAGAGTGGACCTCCGCTCGTCCCTCTAGGTCCAGTCAGAGCACCACCCTTCACAGCTCTGCCCGATGGCTCCTTGACTCTCCAAGGCAAAACTGTTTGCTCCTGTAACACGTGAGCCGTTGTTCTGAAGTTGCATCAGAATCTTTCTATCCCACCGAGTTGTGAGCACATCTTTGTAATGTGACCTTACTCATCTGGGAGTCTCAGATGTCTGATACAGTGTTTGATACATCCTAGCTCATTGAGTGCTGGAATACTATCACATAGTACTTTCTTAATTAATTATTTTTCTAATTAAAAAACTCATTTATGTGTATCTTACAAGATTTGAGAAATTCAATACACAAGGAAGAAAAGAAAATGTTCCATATTTCTAGACCACAGTAGTATACTTTTTAAGTCTGTAAAGGATTTTTTAAAAATAATTTTTATAACTTTATTTTATTTATTCATTTATTTATTTATGTGTGGTCTGAGGATCAAACCCAGTGCCTCACCCATACTATGCAAGCGCTCTACCACTGAGCTATAGCCCCAGCCCCTATTAGGTATTTTTTATACATGTTTGTACACTTTTTTACTTAGGTATGTATTTTGTATGTATGCAGATGTCATGACTGTGTACATTTAGTTATACCTGTGTATAACTAATATACATGTATGTATTACATATATTACATTGATGTATATGAAACAAAATTGGGACTCGTGTCTATATACTTTTTTATAGTGTTCATTTCATTTAATAGTAAGTTGTAAATTTTTTTTTAATATTTATTTTTTAGTTGTAGCTGGACACAATACCTTTATTTAGTACATTTCAAAAACATAATTTTGGGTGGCTGTACAGTATTCCACATACCATTATGAGTGACCCATAATTTATATTTTATTTGTTATAATAAAAGATTTATGTTGCTTCTAGGCTTTGTTATTTTAACACTACAATCACATTAATTATAATACAGCAATATCTCTATATCCCTTAAAGAAATAATCATTTCTGGAAGAGAAAATACCAAGTTAAATGATGTGAGTATTTTTAAGACTCTTGTCACGTTGCTGTTGGAGTAAGTCAGCAGACATGTATGACACCAGAGAGTCTTTTTTTTTTTTTTTTTTTGCATCTTCACCAAACAATAGCTATCATAATTTTTAAAAATACTTTCCCAGTTTTTTTAGAGGAAAATGGCACATTCTTGTTTTAATTTGCAGTTATTTGAGTACCAATAATGTTGAACATAATGTTTATTGGCCATTTTATTATATTAAGAGTTGCCTTTTCCTATATTTTATTCAATCCCAATTGAGGTAGCTGGAGTCTTAAAATAAATACCCTCTATTCTCATTTTTTTACAGGACATCACTGTGATTTCTGCCAAGCTAACCGGCATGCAGAACAGCTTGACAATGCTTGTGGATACACCAGACTACTCAGAAAAATGTGTGCACTTAGAGGCCTTGAAGAACAGACTGGAGGCCCTGGCCAGTCCCCAGATTGTAGCAGCATTCACTTCTCAGTCTGTGGGTGAGTATGGCTCTTTCTTGTGTCGGCACATTTCTTTATAAAGGTAAGACTGTCTGAGTCTTCAGTCTTGAAAATGTCTTGATGTTGATCATATTATAAGACTGGAAGTATGGGGCTGGGGATGTGGCTCAAGCGGTAGTGCGCTCGCCTGGCATGCGTGCGGCCCGGGTTCGATCCTCAGACCACATACAAACAAAGATGTTGTGTCCGCTGAAAACTAAAAAATAAATATTAAAAAATTCTCTCTCTCTCTCTCTCTTTCTCTCTCTCTCTCTCTCTCTCTCTTAAAAAAAAAAAAAAAAAGACTGGAAGTAGCTGCGCACCATGGCACATGTCTCAAGAGGTGAGGCAGGGGGATCACAAGTTTGAGGCCAGCCTCAGCAACTTAGTGAGACCCTATCTCAAATAAAAAAAAAAAATTAAAAGGGCCGAGGATATAGCTCAGTGGTAAAGCACCCCTGAGTTAAATTCTCAGTACTAAAAAATAAATAAATTTAAAAAAGGGTGAGGGGTATAGCTCAGTTGTATAGCTCTTGGGTAGTATGTGTAAAGCCCTGGGTTCAATAACCAGTACTACAAAGGGAAAAAAAGGGAACTAAATTATAACTTATGATGCTTATGTGTTTTGAACATCTTATGTGAAATTTTCAAACATACAGAAAAGTTGAAACAAATGTCGTGAACATACTCTCTGAATTCCAGCATTAGCGTTATGCTGCAGTTTGCTTTATCACGTGTCTACCTACCATCCATCAACCCATCTTAGTCTTTCTGATGCCATTTCAAAGTTGCAAACATTAGTACACTTCAGTCCTAAATACTTCAGTATTCATATCAATAAGTACAGTTCAAAATTAGATTATAATTATTGGATAAAGTTTATATTTAGAGAAATGTACAAATCTTAAATGTGACATTGGAATAAGTTTTGACCCTTATCAAGAATACTGTGATGATATATTATTTTTCAGCAGTTGAGTTCTCTAGTAGAATTGCAATATGAGGATTTGATACCTAGGTAGTATATCCATCACCTCACATAATGTTCTAGTCAGCTTTTTCACTGCTGTGACCAAAAGACCCAACCAGAACAGTTGTAGAGGAGGAAAAGTTGATTTGAAGGTCCACAGTTTCAGAGGTCTTAGTCTATAGATGGCGGCTCCATTCCTGGAAGCTTGAGGTCAGGTGGAACAAAAGTATGGTAGAGGGAAGCAGCTCACATGGTGATCAGAAAGCAGAGAGAGAGACCACTTGCCAGAGAAAAATAGATACCCCAAAGCCACGCCCCCAGTGTCCCACCTCCTCCCAGCCACACCCACCACTTCAGTTGCCATTCAGTTAATCCCTATCAGGGATTAGGTTAAAGATATAACCCAATCATTTCTCCTCCAAACCTTGTATTGTGTCACATGAGCTTTTGGGGGACACCATGTCTAAACTGCTACACATAGTTACTACTTTTTCTTACTGTGCTGAGAACACTTAAGATTTACTGTTAGCAAATTTCAATTACACAGCACATTGTTAGTAGCTGTATATTCACCATGCTGTGTATTAGATCCCCAGAACTGACTCATCTATTGACAGTGTGTACCCTTTGACCAACATCCCCTATTTCCCCCACCTCCTGCCCTGGCAGCTACCAGTCCGCTCTCCTTCACTAAGTTCAGCTTTCATAGATTCCACACACAGAAGTCGTCATACGTTGTTTGTATTTCATTGCCTGGTGTATTTCACTTAACATGATGCCCTCCAGGGTCATCTGTGTTGCTGCAGATGAACACTTTTTCATGACTGAAGGGAGAGCTTTCCTAATTAATCTGGGACAACATAAACCAGGACTGTCCAGGGCAAGTTGGGACAAAACTCTTGGAGAATGGCCCTCTGGATAGTTGATTAGCAGTGTGGACGAGTGAGCTTAGCCGCCTGTGCCCATGGTCACACTGCTCCCCTAGAAGGCAGTTTCTCCCCACGCTTGGCTCCAGAGGCAAGGCCTGGAATGTCTGGCCCCCTTCCGGGGTAGTGAAGCCTTATCAAATTGCTGTCCCTTCAGTTCAGCTCTGGAGAACTGTGTGCCTCTGTTTCCAGCTGAGACTCTTTTTCTCTGTAGTTCCTGGGTTATGTAGTAACTCCAGAGGCAGAAATAAGGCACTATTATGTTAGGTAAGATTTATTTATTTATTCTACTATCAAAGTGAGCACTTAGATAATTTTTAAAAAATAAAAATTATTACCAAATTTATTAAGTGCCTTTTCAGCATCTATCAAGATTAATTTGTTATTTTTATTTCCACTCACCTACTAACTTGATAAATCATAAATAACATTTCGAGTATGACTCCATTCTTGCATTTTAAGAACAAACCTTGCATGTTTACTCTGTGTGTGTATGTGTATAAATGTACTGCTAGATATTTGTTAATCTTATTTAGATTTTTTTTTATTGAGATACCATAAGTGAATATCTTTGCTGGGTTGTGGTATCATGACTGTGTTGGCTTCTTGGAAGCCACCTTGGAAAACCTTCATGTTTTTCCTTCTTGCTCTATTAATATTTAAATAGCATTTTTATTAAGTATTGCCATGGCCCCATTGAATGATTTTTATCTCAGTTCATCTTGGGTATTAAATATCATGAGCTCTGCTTTCTTTTTGTTTCTATTTGCTTTAGTTTGTCTTTGCCTTGTTTATAATCTTCAGACTTTCTGAGATGTTTTATTTTAGAGTTGTCTATTACAAATGACACATAGTTGAATTTTGCTTTTTTTCCTTAATATATATATTTTTTAGTTGTCAATGGATCTTTTGTATTATGTATCTTTATGTGGTGCTGAGGATCAAACCCAGGGCCTCACACATGCTAGGCAAGTGCTCTACCACTGAGCCACACTCCAGTCCAAATTTTGTTTTTAAATCTAGTCCTTGTATGTCTTTTAATAATAATTTTCATCCCATCTAGGTTTTATTTTTTTAAAACAGAAATTTCCAGTCTTTTATGTGTCTATTTTTATATTTTTTGCTTGTATGTTTCTTTCCATTTCCTTTGTTCTCTATGCTGTATGATTTCTTTATAATTTTTCTCAAAGACAATTTGAAATACATATGTGTATGTGTATATATATATATATATATGTATATATATACACACACACACACGTATATATAAAACTTCATTTTAGTTTTACTTGTGATTTTTAACTTCAAAAAGTAAGATGAAAATTTTTCCCAGTCTGTCAACTTCATACATGCAGTAATATCTGATTCCCCTACTCCTGTACTTACATTCCTCTTTCTGCCTCCTGCCCTTCCCTGTCTCCCTTATCAGATAATGATTTGCAGATATTTTCTCTCATTCTGTGGGATTAGTTCTTTTCCTCAGCCCTGGGGACTGAACCCAGGCCCTTGTGCTTGCTAGGCAAGTTGCTCTACCATTGAGTTATATTACCAGCCTCTGCTTTTATATATATATATAATTTTTAAAGTCTGAGGGTCTGGCTCAGTTGCTCACACAGGCCTCAAACTTGGGATTCTCCTGCTTTAGCCTCCTGAATATCTTATTTTTGTAAGAGTCCATCTTTTTTCTTTTGCATATGGATATCCAATTTTCTGAGCTGAAAAAATTTCCTTTCTCCTTTGAATGATCTTGGCATTCTTTTTTTTTTTTTTTTGGCACAAGGGTACCAGGGATTGAACTCGGGCGCTTAACAACCATTGTGAGCCACATCCCCAGCCCTTTCTTGTATTTTATTTAGAGACAGGGTCTCACTGAATTGCTTAATGCCTCGCTTTTTGCCGAGGCTGTTTGAACTTGTGATCCTCCTGCCTCAGCCTCCCAAGCTGCTGGTGTTACAGGCATGTGCCACCGTGCCTGACTGATCTTGGCTCTCTTGTTGAAAATCATTTGACCATGTATATGGGGGTCTGTTTCTGGTTCCACTGTTAATCTGAATCCACAGAATATAGTCTTTATATAAACTATATTAAGACATATAGTTTGTATGTCTGTACTTATGTTAGAACTACACTGTTTTCATTGTTGAAACTTTATAGTAAGTTTTTTAAAAAAATATATTTATTTTTTAGTTGTAGCTGCACACAATACCTTTATTTATATGTGGTGCTGAGGATCGAAACCATGGCCTTGCACATGCTAGGCGAGCATTCTGCCACTGAGCCACCACCCCAGCCCCTTAGTAAGTTTTGAAGTCAGGAAGTATGAGACTTTCATTTTGTTTTCAGAATGATTTGATTATTCAGGGACCCTTGAGATTTCATATAAATTTGAGGATAGATTTTTTGTTTCTGCAAAAATTGTTGAGATTTGGGAAGGAATTGCATTAAACCTATAGATCACTTTGACTAGTATTGACATCTTAATGATATTAAGTCTTCTGAACCATAAACATGAGATGTCTCTCTGTTTATTTGTGTCTTTAATTTCTTTCAGCAGTGCTTTGTAGTTTTCAGTGTATGTCTTTTAGCTATTTGGTTAAGTTTATTACTAAGTATTTTATTCTTTTTGATGTTAGTGTAACTGAAATTTTTAAAAAATATTTTTTTAAAATTTTAAAAATATTTAATAATGCTCATTATTAAAATAACTGATTTTTTTAAACAACTGGGTTTTGTGTATTGATTTGATTTTGCATCCTGCAGCTTTGCTAAACTTATTAGTTCTAATAGAATTTTTTTTTTTTTTAATGGTACTGGGGGGTTGAACTACCTACTGCTGAGCTACGTTCTCAGCCCTCTTTATTTATTTTTATTTTGAGACACAGTCTCGCTAGGCTTCCTGGGCTGGCCTCAAACCTGTGATCCTCCCAACCTCAGACTCCTGAGTAGCTGGGATTACAAGTGTGCATTACTGTACTCAGCTCTAAGAGGATTTTTGCAGAATCTTTAGGGTTTTCTATATATAAGATTTTGCCTGCAAACAGAGATAATTCTTTTTTCCTATTTGAATTACTTTAATTTTCCTTGCTAATTTCTCTGATTAATACTTTCCTTAATACATTCAATAGCATTGGAGAAAGTGGACATCCTTTTCTTGTTTCTAATTTTAGAGGAAAGACTTGGAATAATCTTCACCATTGAATATTTTGTTAGCTATGAGCTTTACAAAATTATATGGGGGCTGGGGATGTGGCTCAAGCGGTAGCGCTCTCTCCTGGCATGCGTGCGGCCCGGGTTCAATCCTCAGCACCACATACAAACAAAGATGTTGTGTCTGCCAAAAAGTAAAAAATAAAAAAAATTAAAAAAAATTTATATGGGCAGCCAGGCACAGTGACACACCTAATCCCAGCTGCTTGGAAGACTGAGGCAGGAGGATCACAAGTTCAAGACTAGCCTCAGCAATTTAGCCAGACCCTATATCAAAATAAAAAGGGATGGGAATGTAAACCCAGGGTGATCTTGGTGGTACAGTGCCCCTGGGCTCGATCCTCAGTGCCCCCAAAATGTAATGAATTGAAAAGAGAAAGTATATGGCTTTCATTATGTTAAGGTAGTTTCCTTCTATTTCTAGTCTGTTGAGTGTTTTTTAACATGAGAGAGTATTGAATTGCGTTAAATGCCTTGTCTACATCAATTAAGGAGATCACCCCCCCCCCTTCATTTTGTTACTGTGGAGTAGTTATTGATTCTTGCATTGTTAAACCATCCTGGCACACAGGAATAAATTCCACTTGGTCATGGTGTATAATCCTTTTTTAAAAAAAATATGTAATTAGTTGTAGATGGACACAATATCTCTGTTTCATTTATTTATTTTTTTTATGTGGTGCTTAGGATTGAGCCCAGTGCCTCACACATGTGAGGCAAGCACTCAACCACTGAGCTCCAACCCTAGCCCACTGAGCTACAACCACAGCCCTGTATAATCCTTTTAATGTTGTATTTAGTTTATCAGGATTTCATTGAGAATTTTTGTGTCAATATTTATCAGGGATATTGGTCTATAGTTTTCTTGTAGTTCTTTGTCTATTTTTGGCATCATGGTAGTGCTAGTCTCAAAATAAATTACGAAGTGTTCCTTCCTCTGTAATTTTTTTGGAAGAACTTGAAAAAATTGGTGTTAATTCTTCTTTAAATGTATAAAAGAATTCACCTAGAAAACCATCCAGTCCTGAGTTTTTTGTTTTCAAGAGATTTCTGATCACTGATTCAATCTTCTTATTAGTTGTAAGTCTATACAGAGTTTTTCTATTTCTATAAAGTTCATTTTTTAAAGAATCATCCATTTTATCTAGGTTATTCAGTGTGTTGATATATAATTATTCAAAGTACTCAGTGTGATCCTTTTTATTTCTGTGGCAATGGTAGTAATGCTTTCTCTTTCACTTCTGGTTTTAGTTGTCTTAAGTCCTTTCTCTTTTTCATAGTGAATCTAAGTAAAGATTTGTCAAAGATTCCTTTTCAAAGAATCATTGATTTTTCTCTTTAGTTTCTTATTCTCTATTTTATTTATTTCTGCTTTAATCTTTATTATTTCTTTCCTTTTGCTGTCTTTGGTTTTAGTTTATCTTGTTTCTTCTTAAGATTTAGAGTTAGGTTGTTGTTGTTATCATTATCATTTTTGTTATTATTTTGTGGTGCTGGGAGTGGAACCCAGGGCCTGTGCGTGCTGGGCAAGTGCTTTACCATTGAGCTACATCCCAGCTGAGGTCTTTTTGGGTGTGTTTATAGCTATGAATTACTTTGCGTAGTTGCTTTCACTGCATCCCATAAATTTGGTATATTGTGTTTTCATTTCCATCTGTCTACAAGCATTTTCTAATTTTCCTCAGAATTTCTTCTTTAACCTAATTGCTGTTTAAAAGCTTATTGTTTAATTTTCACATATTTTTAATTTTCTAATTCTCTCTCTACTGTTGATCTCTAATTTATTTCTGTTGTGATGAGAAAAGATGCTGTATGATTTCCATGGTTTCCACCTTTTAAAATTTATTAGCACTTATTTTATGGTCTAACTTATGGTCTGTCCTGGAGAATATTCCCTGTTTACTGGGAAGAACATATTTTGCTGTTTGTGATTGTCGGGTCTAATTGGTTTAGATTGTGGTTCAATTCCTGTTTCCTATTTGATCTTCTCTATCTTGATATAACTTCTGCACGTGCCATTTGCTGTTTTGGCAAATTCTGCTTTATTATTCATTTAAAGAAATTCTACTCTATAGGGTAGATGTTTTGAAAGTTGTGATTATACCTTGAGACAAGGCACACATTGTAGCAGTTGCTTCCTAAAAGTGTTGTTTAAATGTCCATCTAAACGTTAGTATGTCAGAGTGTGATGGTATTATCAGTAGATTTTTCTTCTTATTCTGTTTTCCACTTTTTCTTCCATGAACATGTTACTGATAATGCTGAAAAACAATGCTATTTCAACAGTCTTCAACTTAGTGTAGTTATTGAGTGTCTACTGTGTGTGGTGCTAATTTCTGGGGACAGTGAAACAAGATAGGAAATGTTACAGCTTTCCTTGGAGCTTGTGTTCGTGGATGATAAAGACAGATATTATGTAAGTAATAAATAAAACAAGTGTAGACTGAGATTATTTCTGTGAAGGGAAGGCATGACAGGACTCAGGAGGAACCTAGTCTAGGTTGGCTGAGGAGAAACCAGAAGATCGTCTTAGATACAGTAAGTACAGAGACCCTGAGGCAGTTAAGGGCTAGGTTTGTTCTTGGCACCTGACAGATGGCCTGCTTCCCCAATGTTTTTCAGTTCATATAAATACTGGATTGACACGTCAGATGAAATCGCTGCTTTTGTAGGCCAGAACATTGGACGCCAGCACTTCAACCTCTGCTGTAGTTTGCAGTCCTGCAAGTCACTAAAACTCTCTGGGCTGCAGTTTTCTTGCCTACAAAATGAGGTCAATTATCAGTTATTTTAGGTACTTGTCGCTAACAGTTTGTGATTCAAATCAGGGCCAGGACTAGGTGAGGCAAGTGGTTGTGTGCTTGCACAACCCCGAGAGTGATAGCTTCTTTAAATTTCATACCCCAGGCTTGCCCCCCAGCCCGGTGCCAACCCTGATTCTAGTTCAGTTTACTGTTCAGATGTGCTGATTGATTTGCTGATGTATAATGTCAGCTCTATTAGTGATGCTTGTCAGGGATGCTTGTTGACTTTAACAAGCAGAGCTTGTGGTGTCTGATTATTGGGTAACATACTCTGCTCCTAACATTACTTATTTTTCATATTTATGATCCCCATGCATGAGTTAATTCATTATCTAGTTAGGAACTTCTGAATACTAGTTATAAAGCCACATTTTAAAAATACTTTTATTTTATTTATTCTATTTTTATGTGGTGTTGAGGATCAAACCCAGTGCCTCACACGTGCTAGGCGGGCGCTCAACCACTGAACTATAACCCCAGCCCTAGAACCACATTTAACCTAGTGAATTATTTCTCTTGGCTATATCAGAAAACCTCGTAACAGTCTTATATGTGTTTTATGTTGTTCTTTAGATCAGTCCAAAATGTTTGTGAAGATTTTTACTGAAATTGACCGGATGCCCCAGCTCCTTGCATACTATTACAAGTGTCACAAGGTAAGAAGCTGCAAACCATTACAATTGTGGAGTGCTCATAGCTCTGGCAACAGCAAGTTTTAGACTTGAGGGCTGTTTTTCTTTCCATTAACCAGTAGGGGGCACTCTTGGTCCAGCGTATGGACACATCTAATTGCCAGTTGGAAAACATTTCATCAGTTTTCATCCTCTTTTGTATTTACAGCTGGATTCATTTAGATGGATTCAAACAGACTTGAAAAATTGTTTTAATTTATTCCCATTTTTGTATCTTAAGGGAGATTCATGTCTTAAGCTTTATTGTGCCTTTCAGCAAACTGTAAGACTTTTTTAAGTTTTGTGTGGTTGTTGAAGTTAGGTTACCAAAACACTCAGCAGCTTCCTGGGCTGACCTCCATTCCTTGAAGCCCAGTCGTTCAAGCCCCTGTGTCCTTGAAGCAGTAAGGAGAGGACATGAAGCTTTAGCACCAACTCATAGCCACCTCTAAGGTCTCTTCTGAAGAGCGCAGCGCACTGGGTGGAGCACCCTGGCATGTCTTTGGGGCAGGGTAAAAGGAGAGAGGTACTTGGAGGTGACAGATTCAAGTTTGGATGATTATTAGAAGAGATTACTGTTTTTGTTTGTTTTCTGCCTTTTTAGGAAAAAAAAAAGAATGGATTCAGTGGGCACTTGGCTCGGGACAGCAGGCAGCAGTGCTCACTGGGGTGGTGGAAGGGAAGGGCAGTTGGAGCAGGCAGCTTATTTAGTGCACCCAGCAAGGTCCTCTCTGTTGTGCCTCTGCAGGTGCAGCTTTTGGCAGCCTGGCAAGAGCTGTGCCAGAGTGACCTGCCCCTGGACCGCCAGCTCACCGGCCTCTATGACGCCTTGCTCGCTGCTTGGCACACGCAAATCCAGTGGGCCACGCAGGTAACAGCTTACTTGGTTTTAGGGGAATGGGTAACTGGCTGGGAGCACCTGCTCTCAGCTGCAGAGCCCCACGGGAAATGTCCCCATCTGTCACCATCACCCAAGGGGTTAAAAGATAGGCTTGGAAACCCAGGGCAGTGAAGTCCTTAGGTTTCCATTAAAGCTCTTCTTATCACTCTTATCTGTATCTTAAGTGGAATCTAATGTGACAGTGTTGCCTGTGGTTCAGCTAGGGAGCCTTTGGAATTCCTGGAAGCCGTTATCTTCACATCTGAAAGCAGGAGGCCCCTAGTCAGGCGGTGGTGGAGTGAACAGGCTGTTTATATCTTAACCTCAGGTAAAGCTTACCTGGCCTGCAGTTACTTTCCCTTCTCTCACAAGACATCAAGAGTTAGAGGAAGAGTATAGTGTTGAAGGTACCCTCTGAGCAGGGGCAATGAAACAGAGGGTTCAGGAGGAAGCTTCCCATCACTTACCCTCGCCAGGTCTCTAGGCGTTTCCAGACGGAGGGGAATGGAGCGTCACTGCTTCGTCCGCAGGCCAGGAGGGCAGCAGACCCTCTTCTAGAAGGGGAGCAGCCTGAGTACTTGGGGTGATGACGGACTGGGCTTATTGGTGGTGTGGCTTATTATTTTTCTCGTCATTAGTTGTGGATTGCTCTTTAGATGTTCATCAGTCATTTGGTGGAATAAACTCAAATGTACTGGAGAGATTCCCTGCACAGGGTCATGGTGTTGAGGATGGCTAAAGCCCTTTTCTCCATCCTGGCTTCTTCTTCCTTGAACTAACCTAATTCAAACTTAGGCAGGTTTTGTTTGCTTGTTTTTTTGAGGAGAAAAAGAACCTCAGTGGTTTTTGTGTGATCACGAGTTTTCAGCAGGTCTGTCTGCTCACACCCGTTTACCGTCCGGGCCTCTTCTACCACTTCTCAAACCACAGGAGAAAAACGGCTCGTGCCTGTACATACAAATGCCCTTCCTCGTCTGTGAATCATCTAGGAGAAAGAACTGGGGCTTCTCAGACTTCTGCTTCGTCCTCACTGTTAGTTTTGAAGGCATAAGTTTATGCTTATTTATACCTTTGGCCTGTGGCCCGTTTTCTTTACGGGATGTGAGCATGTGAGGTGGGCTTTCATCTCCAGAAGCTCAGGAGAGTGCAGGTGAGGCCAAGGCCGCAGGGTCTGTAGGTGTGTCTCCTCCACATTTCTGTTTCCCTAGGTTTTAAATGAACCTTTTCCCGCCTGTTGCTGGGGATCAAACTGAGGGCCTTGCACATACTAAGCAGGTGCTCTAACTGAACTGCACCCCTGGCCCTCCCCCAGTATTTTAGTATGAAAAATACCCAACACATAAAAAGGCTGAAATAATTCTACAGTGAATACCTGTGTACCTACCTCACAGCTGGACAGTGAACATTTTGCTGTTTGCTTTGTCACAGATTTATCCTTCTATCCGTCGTCTGTCTACTCATCAAATATTTTTTGATTCATTTCAAAATAAGTTGGGATATAACATTCATTTAAGAACACGTATATGTATATGTACACATGTGTATTATTAACTAGAGTTCAAGTATTTGTGTTTTTTCGAAGTAAAATTATGAAATGCAGTGATCTTAAATATATCATTTGATTAGTTCAAACAAATGCAAATAGATGAGACCTTATCCTCTTTCTAGACACGAATCATTACCATCCACCTAGAAAGTTCTCTCATACTTCTTCCCGGGCAGCTATTGCTCTCATGTTCCCCCCATATAAATTAATTTAGCCTGCTGTGGGATTTCCCGCAGATGGAAAACACCCTGTGGCAAAGCATCTTTGTTGTTGTGGCAAGGTTTCTTTCATCTGGTGGGTTTTTGAGACTTACTCATTTGTATGTATTGCTAGTTTGTTCCCTTTTATTGCTGAATTCTGTTACATTCTGTTACATGATGTGAATAGACATCATTTAAAAAAATTTTTTTGAGATGTTGATGAACCTTTATTTTATTCATTTATTTATATGCAGTGCTGAGAATTGAACCCAGTGCCTCACACATGCTAGGCAAGAGCTCTACCACTGAGACATCGTTTTGTTTGCACATTTTCTTATTGATGGACACTTGATCTACTTGATCTCATTCTAGTTTGGGACTACTATGAATAAAGCTGCTATGAACATTGTTCTATAAGTGTTTTTTTTTAAAGACACATGTCTTCATATCTCCTGAGTAAACACCTAGGAGTGGAATTCTGAGATCATAGGGCAGGTGTATATTTGGATTTATAGGAAACTGCCAGGCCTTTTTCTAAAATACTTGTCCTTATTGCACTCCCACACAGTGTGAGAGTTCTGATTGCTTCCTGTGCTTGCTAACATGGGGTGTTGTCTGTCTTCTTAATTTTAGCCATTCTGATGGGTGTGCAGTAGTGTCCCATTGTGGTTTTAATTTGCATTTCCCTGATGACTAAGGGCACTAAGCACCTATTCTTGTGCTTCATGGCCATTTGGATGTCTTCCTTTGTGAAGTGTCTATTCAGGTCCTTTGCCCATGTGAAACATTGGGTTGTTTGCCTTTTTATTATTTAGTTGTAGGAGTTCTTTATATATTTTGGGCACAAGTCCTTTGTCAGATATGTTTGTAGACATTTGCACATTTTCTTCCAGTCTGTGGCTCGAACAGAGGTTTTATTTTTAATTTTTAAACTTTTTTTGCAATGCTGGGGATCAAACTCAGGCCCTTGCAGGTTCTGGGCAGGCACTGAGCAAGCACTCCATCACCGAACTACATCCTAGCTCTGAGTAGGAGTTTCGATTTTGATGAAGCCTATCATTTTGTTTTTTCTTTTATGGTTGTTGCTTTCTGTATCCTAAGAAGTCATTGCTAGTCCTCAAGTTTCAAGGATATTCTTCCATGTTTTCTTCTACGAGTTTGTTTAGCTTTTAACATTTAGATCCGTGGTCCATCCTGAATTAGCTTTTGTGTGTAGTGAAGGCAGGGCTGGACTATCTTTCTGTGGCCCAAGTTGATAAGTCTGGTCTTACTTAAATGACTTGGGGGTGGGGGTGAAGTTAGACTATGGTTGTATTCCAGAGAGTTCTCATTGGTTGGTCGATATGTGAAGTCATGTTCTAGACCTCTAGTGGCATTTTTTTAAAATGCATGTTTCAATTAAGACCCCTAAACCCCTTGTGTTTAGAGGTTTCCCCTTTTTTAAAGTAACTGGACAAAAAAGATTCTGTGGCCATTTCGAAAGAACAACAGAAGTTTACAGACTTAGAACTTGGGGGCTCAGTGATGACCCTTAGCTGTAGAAAATAGTAACTAGACATGGAAAAACTGGGCTGGAGGTGTAGCTAAGTGGTAGGGCATTTGCGTAGCATGTGTGAGGCCCTGGGTTGGATCCCCAGCACTGCAAAAACCAGACCAGAACAAACCAAACCTGATGAATTAAGTTTCATCAAAATTAGAACCTCTGCTTAAGTCATAGACTGGAAGAAAACATCTACAAACATATCTGACAAAGACTTATATCCAGAATATATAAAGTACTCCTACAATTAAAAAACAAAAAGGCAAACAACCCAGTTTTTTAAATGGGCAAAAAACTTGAACAGACACTTCACAAAGGAAGAGATATGAATGGTCAGTAAGCCCACAAGTAGGTGCTCAGTGCCCTTAGTCATCAGGGAAATGCAAATTAAAACGACAGTGGGATAATGCTGCACACACCCACCAGACGGCTACAATAAAAAGAGTAACAATACCAAACTATGAATAATGGGCAAGTCTCGCAATATTTAAAAATACGAAATATAAGAGAACTTTTGAAGTAAATTTAAAATAAAGAATTTGGTGGACCTGGGCGTGGTGGAGCACGCCTATAATCCCAGTGGCTCAGGAGCCTGAGTCAGGAGGATCGTGAGTTCAAAGTCAGCCTCAGCAAAAGTGAGGCACTAAGCAGCTCAGTGAGACCCTGTCTCTAAATAAAATACCAGATAGGGCTGGGGGTGGGGCTCAGTGCCCCTGAGTTTAATCCCTGGTACTGCCCCCCACCCCTACCCCCACTCCACAAAAAAAGAATTTGGTGGTGATACATAGGGTGAATTACTAAGGAGAGTTGGGAGACAGACAGCCTTTGCCTGGTAGGGATGATGTGGTGCTGTTCAAGTTGATGAAGGAACAATCGTTGAAACAATTGTTAGTAACCAATAAAGGGATTCAAAGAAAGGAAAGTCAGAAGGGAGATTTTCATCCTGGTGAGTGGAGACATTATTGACCGAAGTAGGAAGTTGAAGGGAACACCTGTGGAGTTCAGTGGGGACATGATGGATTCTAATTATGGGTGCTTTTAAGTTCCCAAGTGTCAGTCTAACCGTGACTTCCAGTAGATGGCTGGATGACTGGCTCAGGAAATATAGATTGGAGCATCTGCCACAAGTTGGTCATTTTATAATTTATTGGATTTGATTGTTTCTTCCCCCCTATTTCTTTGTCCCAGACTCTAGCAGGGTGGCACTATGTGGAGTCTAATGTAGGATGTATCAAGGGAAACAAATGTTCTTTGCAGTTTTGTAAATTCTCTGAGAATTAAAAAAATATATACATATTTTGGACCATGTGCATGGCCATCCTATAACCAGTTGCTAAGGATCTTTAATCCTTCTCAGGTTAACTTTTTACACAGTGTAAGATCCGGGGCCTGCCTTGTTCTTTTGCATGCGGACATCCAGTTTTCTGAGAACCGTTTGTTGCCATGATTGTGCTTTTCCTATGAAATGGCCTTGGCACCCAGGTTTAAATCAATTGGCCTTAGATGTCTGGGTCTGCTTCTGGGCTTTCTGTTCTAGTCCACTGGTCTGTGTCTGTCCTTATGCTATCATTATACTTTTGAAAAAGTTTTCAGCCACACCTGAGGTATTGGGATTAGGACTTTACTTATAAATTTTAGGGGGACACAGTTCAGACCATAATATTCCCCTTTCTTCATGAAACTAAACAGGGCGAGTCTTTCAGCTTTGCTCTCCTTTTTCAAGACGATTTTGATTACTTGGGGTACCTTGAGCTTCCAGATGAGTTGTCTTTGTTGCTGTTCCTTTATGCACTGTGCGACCCACTTCAGTGCCAGCAGCCTGTAGACACAGAGGCCAGGCAACGGTTTGGGGGCATAGTTTGCCCTGGCATGGGACACTATGAGAGGCCCAGGGACAAGCCTACATAAATCCAAACCCATGCATTCAAATGAATTTTTGAATGGATTTTTCTATTCCTCAAAAAAAAAAAATACTATTGGTGTTTTGATCAGTGCTTGCATTCCATCTGAAGGTGACTTTGGTTGTGTTGACATCTTAAGAACACTAGGTCTTCAGATTCATGAACATGGGATGTCTTCACATATTTGTCTTCTTTCATTTCTTGCTGTTTTGTAGTTTTCAGTGTATAGTTGTTCAGCTTTTTGGTTAAGTTTATTCCTAAATACTTGGTTCTTTTTGATGCTATTGCAGATGGACTTGTTTTATTAATTTCCTTTTCAGATTGTTCATTGTTAGTGTGTTGACAGACAACTGATTTTGTGTGTTGATATTATTACCTGCAACATAGCTGAATTTTAACTCTTAACAGTATTTTGTGGATTATTTTGGATTTTCTACACATAAAACCATGTCATCTGTAAACAGAGATCACTCTGTTTTCAATTTGGACTCCTTTTATTTCTTGTTCTTGTTCTTTTCCAGTTGCTCTGGCGAGAATTTCCGGTACTATGTTGGATAGAGTGGCAAAAGTAGGCTTCTTTGACTTGTTCCTGAACTTAGAAGGAAAAGCGTTCAGTCTTTCACCATTGAGTCTGATGTGAGCTGGGTTTTCACCTATGGCCCTAGCATCTGGAAGAAGTTTCCTTCTATCCCTAGTTTGTTGTATGTTTTGTCATGAAAGGGTATTTTGTTAAATGGATTTTCTGCATTAATTGAGGTGGTCATATGTATTTTCCCCTCATTCTGTTGGCATGATATATTAAATTGATTAATTTTTTACATTGAACTGTTCTTGCATTCCAGGAGTAAATCTCACTTCACGACGGTGCTTACTCCTTTTAGTGTGCTGCTGAACTCAGTTTCTAGTACTTTGTTGAGGATTTTTGCTTATACATTTACAAGGGATATTGGTCTGTGGTTTTCTTGCAGTGTTTCTGTAAGACGCCGCACCACACTACGAATGGGAGACACCACATGACACAGATCACCGGAGAGGTTCCGCTTTATTACAAAAGGCTGTGGGTTTATATAGGTCTAAGGAGAGGTAGCAGGGCTGAGGTCACCCGTTTATTGGCAAGCTCTTCCATATGTCAGTTCCGGAGCCCAAGAAGTTAATTCTTATTGGGGCTAAGGTTTCCCACCCGCAGGATTTGAACATTGGCGCCGGCGGGAACGTTTCGCGCCAGTGAAAGAAAAAAGAGGAGAAAGAGGGTTGTTAGGCACCATGTTGGGGTTTTTCTCTGGAGTGCTGCTGCCATTATATGTTTTCCCAACAGTTTCTATCTGCTTTTCATATTGGGGTGATGCTGACCACACAGAATGAGTTAGGAAGTGTTCTGTGTTAGTTGTAAGGGAGTATCTTGGACTGGCAAGTTTAAGCAACAGAAATTAATCTCCTCAAAATTCTTAAAGTCTTGGAGTCCAAGATAAGGATTGCTTCTTCAGAAGTCTCCTTGCAGACTTGCAGAAGGCCATTTTCTCCCTGTGTCCTTACTCCATATGTGTTTGTTGTCCTGATCTTTTCTTTGAATCAGAACACCAGTCATAGGGGATTAGAGCTCACCCAGATTACATCATAGTACCTTTGCTAACTTTTTTTTTTTTTAAGAGAGAGAGATAAATATTTATTTATTTATTTTTCAGTTTTGGGCGGACACAACATCTTTCTTTGTATGTGGTGCTGAGGATCGAACCCGGGCCGCACGCATGCCAGGCGAGCGTGCTACTGCTTGAGCCACATCCCCAGCCCTACCTTTGTTTTTTAATGTTTTTTTTTAGTTGTGGGTGAACATAATATCTTGATTTCATTTTTATGTGGTGCTGAGGTTTGAACTCAGTGCCTCACATGTGCTAGGTGAGCACTGTACCACTGAGCCACAACCCCAGCTCCCCTTTGCTACCTTTTTAAAGGTCTTGCTGCAAATATAGTCACATTCAAGGTATTGGGATTGGGACTTCACGTACAAATTTCAGGGGAACACAGTTCAGACCATAGCATATTCTCTCTTCTTCAGTTTTATTCCAAGTGTTTTAGAAGGGTTGGCCTTAATTCTTCTTGTATATTTTGTAGAAGTCACCAGTGAAGTCATCTCTGATCTTTTTTTTTTTAAAGAGAGAGAGAGAGAGAATTTTTAATATTTATTTATTTATTTTTTAAGTTTTGGGCGGACACAACATCTCTGTTTGTACTTGGTGCTGAGGATCGAACCCGGGCCGCACGCATGCCAGGCAAGCGCGCTACCGCTTGAGCCACATCCCCAGCTCCTGATTCTGATGTTTTTTTGAGGGGAGGTTTTGATTATTGATTCAATGTCCTTACTATAGGTAGAGGAGGATTCCAGTTCTCTCTTCCTGAGCCAGTTTTGGTGGGTTGTGTTCTAGGAATATGTCCATTTCATTCAGTTTGTTGGCATACAGTTGTTCACAGAATTCCCTTATAATCTTTTTTATTTCTGTAAAATTGGTACAATGCCTTAATTTTATATCTGATTTTAGTAATTTAAGTTCTTTCTCTTTTTTTCTTAATCAGTCCAGGTAAAAGCAGTTTTTTTTTTTAATTTTTGCAAAAACACCTTGCAATTTCTGGTGTAATAGACTTTACTTTTGTTGATTTTCTATCCTCTTATTTATCTCTACTTTAATCCATATTATTTTCTTCTGCTAACCTTGGGTTTAATTTGATCTTTTCCCCCCTAGTTCTTTAATGTGAGCGCTTAGGTCATGCATGTGAGATTTTTCTTTTTCTAATCATACACACCTGCAGCTCTGCAGGCCTCTTAGTATTGCTTTTGCTGCATCCTGTAAGTTTTGTTTTGTTCTTTTCATTTTCATTTATCTCAGAGTATTTTGTAGTGAAATTTGGAATTCTTTTGGGTTTATAGTTTTAAATTTGTACTTTTTTTGGCCTTGGATTTTCCTAAAAAAAAGTTCTTGTATCATCTCATGTTTGTATATATCTAGGTTATGTTTTAACAAAAAAGTACTTAACCAGCCCTGTGGTATAGAGAGAACCCCCTTCTAAGTGAACTATGTACATTATTCAAAAATTTCCCAAGAAATCTAAAGTACATATAATGAGAGAGAAAAGACTATCAATGAATAATTTTAACGGGTCTAGGTACACTCTTCCTTGTGGTCCTTAAGAGAATCCATCAAGATCAGTGTCAAGGAGAGGCTGCAGCCAGACTGAATCTGCATAAAGATCCTTCCAGTTGTGATTCAGTGGATTGCTTTTCTTTCACTGGTGCCCCCACCCCTGCCCCAAAGCCATTTCTCCTTTGGCACCTTCATAGCCCTCCCTCCAGTCAGTTTCTGGTACCATCTAAACACCGCAGGAAAGCATTTAGTAAATTTGTAAATAGGAAGGCACTGGGGGGGTGGGCAGCAGTAGACAGGACAGGACATTGTCCCATCATTCTGGACGCCTTCCAGGTCCTGCAGATTTGCTGTGCTTTCTGAGCACGTTCACTCTGCAATGAGGGGACCTTTGGGCTTGTAGCTCTTGACTAGTCACTTTTTACCTATTAAGGGGATTTCTTCGAGTGATCCAGAAAACAGCTTCTTTAAGAACTCTGTCCTGTTGGTGGCGTGAGCTGACACAGCTGCCTGTTTCCCACTGCAGGTTTTCAAGAACCCTCATGAGGTTGTGACAGTGCTGCTGATCCAGACCCTGGGGGCCTTGGTGCCCTCCCTGCCTATCTGCCTCAGCGCTGGCGTGGAGAGAGCGGGACCCGAGCTGGAGCTCACCAAACTGCTGGAGTTCTACGACACCACTGCCCACTTTGCCAAGGGGTTGGAGGTGGCACTGCTCCCCCACCTACGTAGGCATTCCTTCCTCCCTTCTCCGACTTGTCTTTACTTGCTGTTTTGCAGCTTCTGGGGCCTGGGTTTGTTTCTTTTGCAGGGGACTGTGCAGAAAGGGGAGGATTCCAACACATATGGAAGGTTGTCCACGGAAACTGCCCTTAGGGAAGTGGCTTTAATATACTTGTCTAGTATCCCAGGTATTGTCTAGTGCTTTCTCAGCTCTGGGAACTGATGGACCTTCTGCTGTGGCTTAGCATGTGAAAGAGGCAGGTAGACACAGGTGGCAGGAGCTGGCAACAGGCTTCCCTGGGAGGACAGTGTTCTCTTCATTTCGAGTCACGAAACCTTAGACAGTTCAACCTCAAAAGTAAGTTTGAGGGGACACTTAGGTTGTAGGGGCTTCTGAAGGGGCAACAACAAGTTTGTCGTGACAGCGGAGCTGTGTTAGGACTACAGGTAGCTGTGTGGAAAAGGGCTCTCCTGGTGGCTGAGAGAAAAGCACTCACTCCTCATTCCCATTTGGGGGGATGATGCATGGGATGGTGCATTTTCCTAGCTGTTTTCCGCCTGTGTTAAAACCATCATCAATTTTTAGATATCATAGACCTCGTGACACATGCTGCTGTCAAATCAGGAAGTTGCTTGAGGAAGGCCTTGTTCTGCCATGTGGCTGCTGTGTGTCACTCACTGCGTTTATTTAATAGTGATTCTCTTTAATGACATTTGTGCTTAATTGCCTGGACATTCCAGGGAGTGTGTTTGTTGTTCAGGTTCCTGATGAGTCAGAGGTGTTTTTGGCACACTCGCCTTAGGTGTGGGAGAGGCATGGTGGATGTGGGTGGCTTCCAGAGGACCACGCTGCCCTGGCAGGTGGCTACAGAGTGTGCAGGCCGTGGATCCTGCTGGAGCAGAGTGGGACGAAGGCAGGGCAGGGGACAGGTTGCATTCCGCCCACGGCCATGGACTTTCCTAAGCGAGGAGAACCACCCTCTGCAGAGTCAGATAGAGGAGTGCTTTGTCATCGGCCATGGGAGTACAGATCTGTGACAATGGCTGTGGAAGGTTTCAAAATAATGTTTTGTTTTACTTTTAATTGAAAAACACTTTGGAAACACAAAAAATAAAAGAGAGGCTAAAAGTGACCCATAGCTTCATCACTCAGAGTCACTGACAGCATTGCATTTCTTCCCGGTAATTCAAATGTAAATGCACGTTGTTTTAAGCATTAATAAAAATATTTAGGATGTGCTATATATTTTTATGGTGCTGGGAATTGAACTCAGGGCTTGTACATGTGAGGCAAGCACTCTATCAACTGAGCTCTATCCCCAGCCCAAGATCTGTTTTTTTAATCTATGTTTTTTTAGTTGTGGATGGACACAATACCTTTATTGTATACACACACACACACACACACACACGTATTTTTAAATTTTTTAAAAATTATATATTTAATTATAAACAATTATATTTAATTGTTTTTTAAATTAATCTTTTTTTTGTATAGGGGATTGGACCCATCTGTACTTTACTACTGAGCTATATCCCCAACCCTTTTTTAATGTTTTCTTCTGAGGCAGGGTCTCACTAAGTTGTTGAAGCTGGCCTTGAACTTATGATCCTCCTGTCTCAACCTCCCGAGTTACTGGGATCACAGGCGTGCACCACCGCACCTGGCAGTGGCTTATAATTTTTTAGCCACTATTATAAGTACAACTGTTATGAACTATATTACCCATTAATGTTTAAACCTAATTCTGATTGGTCCTTAGGATAAATTTTAAATTGTAGTCATGAAGAAGTGGAAAATTGAAAGATGTTTTTCCTACTTTGCTCTTTAGAAAGTTTCTGCCAATTTTTGTATAGTAGTGAATAAAGGCACCAGGTCGCTCCTGCCTCTTCCATCGTTGTCAGATTCTTATACAATTAATAATATATCATTTTAATTTACTTCAGCATTAGCAAGTTTGAAAATTATATTATAAAATGATCTCTTTTTCTTTTTTGGTTGCTTATTTGCCTGTTTTGCTTGGAGTTTTAATCTATTTCTTGTTAATATCTTAGAGTAATTTATTTAAAATAGTGTTATTACATATGTTTGTAAAAAGCAACAAAAATATATGTTACATAGTCTCCTATAGTCCTATTTGCTAGAAATAACCATGTTTAAAATTTTGACATGCTCCTAAAAGATTCTTATGTAGTGGACTTTTTCCTATTGTTTATCAAATATATTTCAGCTATATTTTCTAACTTTTATTTTACCTTTAACATGTTTCTGTTATTTTACTAACAAATACCCATACATGATATAATTTAAAATATAAAAGATTATGGAAAAGAAAGCAAATTTTTAAAATGTAACTTAAGTTGATTTTATAGTTAACAAGCAATATGTATTTATTATAGATAAATCCTGAAAATACAAGGAAGGGGAAAAAAAATCATCCTCAACCTGCCTTCTAAAACAGCATTTTGGGATTATATGTATGTGCAGATTTTGCGTATGAGTATCCGTATGTTTATATTCTTAAATTTGGTTTCAGTAGAATATTATTATCACACCCAAGAATTTAATTTTGATTTCATATTGTCAGCTAATGTGCAGTCAGTGCTCGGGTTTCCCCAGTTCCACAGGTGTCTGCATAGCGGCTTCCCCACCTCTGCCTTGCACAGACATCCGGTTCACGTACATACATTGCCTCGATTGTCCTGTTTCTGTAGATTATAATCTCTTTTAATCTACAACAGTCATTTCATTTTTCTTTTTTGTTTTTCATGACATGGACGTTTTTGAAGAAGAAAAGGTCGTTTTCTTATGGAATGCCCCACATTCCAGGCTTTTATTAGTAGATTTATCTCAAACATTTTTAGCAAAACTGTTGCATTGATGCTGATGTGACTTCCCATTGCATCACCTCAGGAAACACATAATGTCGAATTGCCGGTGACAGGTTAGATTAATCACATTGTAAATGTATCCTCCAGATCTCCCCATTGTCGTTACCTTTTCCTCTTTGTAATTATTAGGTAATTTGTGGGGTGATACTGTGAGCTCATAGGAATATGCCATTCCCCAAGAAACAATTGCCCAGTGATATCAGCACCCATCGATGAGCCTTGCCTTAATGAATTCTTACAGTGCTGATTGTAAAATGGTGATTTTGTAATTATATCATTCATTCTACAATTATCTGCTGGCATTCTCTTATGAAGAAGAATTTCCCTTTTTGCCTTTTTTTTAAAAAAAATATTTATTTTTTAAGTTTTTTTAGGTGGACACAATGTCTTTATTTTACATTTATGTGGTGCTGAGGATCGAACCCAGTGCCTCATGCATGCTAGGCAAGCACTCTACCACTGAGCCACACCCAGCCCCCCTTTCTGCCTCCTTGATGTCACTATAAATTCATGGATTTTTAAAAATATTTTATTATTTTTTTAATACTTACAAAGAAGCCCACTTGATGGACAAAAATTCATGGATTTTAAAAAATCCAGTGTGTTATGATTTAATTGTTATCATCCTTTTTTTTTTGCAATACTGGGGATTGAACCCAGGGCCTTGTGCATTTGAGGCAAGCACTTTTCCACCTGAGCTATATCCCCAGCCCCCTCATTGTTACCAATCATTTTGATGTCCAAATTATTTCATTTTTGGACTGTGGGTCCCCATTCAGCTGACTCTCATATCTTTTTGGCATGTCTCTAATCAGTCTTTGAATGCTTCCTTGCTTTTTGGCACAGACTATTCCAGAAGCACCTGTGCTTTCCTTTACCCCTCACCTGGAGTCAGCTGTTTTTCCAGGGAGACTAGTTTTTTCTGGTGAAAATTGGTATTTAGAAATGAGAGTCTGAACACCACAGCTGTTCATTGTTGCTGAGGTATCATTACTTCTAGGCTCTTTTGGTGGAGAGAGCTAGGAAATACATATTTTTTAAAAAATTGGCAAT